AGCTGGCGGAGGCTCGGCTGCCTTAAGACAGTTAATTATGCTGCTTTTGTGTGCAGGGTGGGTGGGTGGGGGCAGGGCTGACCGAAAAGCACAGCCCCCTGCCAGAATCCGGTGCTCTCCATTGGCTGAACGGGGAGTGTTTCCAAGGGCCTCACCGGGGGCAGAAGCGGAAATGATTTCCTGATGGCGCATCACGGATTTAAAAACAAAACAAGGAGCAAACAAACAAACAAACACAGGACGGCGGTGGCCTCATTCCTTAGATTAGGAAGGAGGGAGGGAAAGCGTCCCGAGGACCGCGTTACGTGGGGCCCCCAGCCGTGTGCCAAGGACCCGGCCGCGTGCTGGGGAGGCAGAATCTTCCCGGCCACGCTTGCTCGGGCCACCGATGGAAAGGCGCCCCCTACAGTTGTGCGCTCAGCGGCCCTGCCCTGGAGGACTCCAGCCTGACAGTATAATAGTATCACGAGTTGCAGCTTCTGAAATTAGAAGGAGGTTTGGACCCTGGCTAGGCGGCTGCCTAGCCGGGAGACACGACCGCGTAAGTGACCTTCGCTGCTGGGCCTCAGTTTCCTCACCTGCGAAATGGGAACATCATGGTACTGGCGTTTCGGCATTCAATGAGATCGTGTAGGAGAGCGCTTAGCACAGTGCCTGAGAACGCTTCGCTACCTGTTTCTCGCCCTTGCTGTGTCGGGTTTTAGACCTGTAGCAGAGGCCGAATGGTGGTCCCCACAGGATATGGCAGCTCTTATCCTGACCCCTGGAACTTGGGAATATGACCTGATTTGGAAAAAAGGGTCTTTGCAGGCAGAATTGAGGATCCAGTACCCTCATTCTGAGATGAGAGCATCTGGACTGAGGATAAATCCCAGAGCCAATGCCAAGTGTCTTTACCTCTGCAAACCAAGGAGAACCAAGGATTGCCAGCAACCACCCGAAGCTGGGCAGGCATGGAATGCATTCTCCCTCACCGCCTCCAGAAGGAACCGACCTTCATTTTTGACGTCTGGGCTCTGGAACTGTGAGAGAATTTTGATTTCTATTGTCCTAAGCCGCTTGGCTTGTGGTGCTTTGTTACAGCAGTCCCAGAAAACGAACACACCCTGAGTAGCAACCAATGCCCATTACTCCGCCCTGCCTCCCTTAATCACTGCAGTGGCTTTCCACCCGTTTTGTGAACACATCAAGTTCATCCCCACCACGGGGCCTTTGAACATGCTGTTCCCTCTGCCAGGAATGCTCTTCCAGAAGAGGTTCACATTATTCAGGTGCCAGCTCAGAAGTAGTCTCCTCAGAGAGGCCTTCCCTAACCACCCCTACTTTGCCCCCCCAATTCATCACCCCATTCCATTGCCCAGTCTGATTTTTTTTAGTACATACATTAGTATAATTGCTGGGTCATACACTCAGGAGCCTGACTTTTCCCCCACAGCACTTACCACTATTTGAAACTGCCTACTTATTTTTTGTTTGTTTGTTTATTCTCTGACTCCCTAGCTAGAATGTAAAATTCAAGATAAATGAGACTTGGCTGGTCTGGTACCCTGCTGTGTTCTCTGCAGAGGTCAGCAGCACCTGGCACAAAGGGGAGGTCCAGGACGTGCCGGTAGAACGTGTCGATGTCGGCTCCCCCCGCCCCGTGGATACCAGACGACACTCTAATCACCTTGCTGCCAAAGTCACTGCATCAGGGTCTGTGCCCCTCCAAGCCAAAGGCGGAAAGGCACTGCCCCACAGCAGGGGATGAGAGCCTGGAGCCTGAAGCTCGAGATCCATCGGACTTTACGCGCCCTGGCTGGAGGAAGCGGAGCCCTGGGAAGAGACGCGTGTGTTAATTCAGTGGGAAATCCAGGCCAGTCCTCGTGCTGGGCACTGGGGTCCAGCGTGTGAATGAGAAAGACTTCGCTTTTGTCCAACTCCCATTTGGAGAAACAGATGGGCAAAGGAGTCTGGGCTGATTTAGAGACATCTTTGAAGCAGAGTGGCTTGGGGGAGGGTGCATGGGAAGACGTTCAGGGGCAGAGGGTGGGCAGTGACGATGTGAGTTGGGCCCTGAGAAGTGAGTAGGAGTTGGATGGATGAAGGAGCTGGAGAAAAACTATCTGGGCAGAACGGCGTTTGCAAAGCGACCTCCCCTCCCTCACGAGAGCGCGCGGGGAGCTGTCCGTGGTGCTGTGGCCGCCGCCAAAGAGCCGGCGCGTGAACCCAGCTTGTCTGGTTTACTTTTCACCGGGGTTAAAACGCACATACAGAACATAAAGCTTGCCATTCCGATCATTTTTAAGCGTGAAGTTCAGTGGCATCAATTACATTCACCATGTGCAACCATCACCACAATCCATCTCCGGAACTTTTCCATCTTCCCGAACTGAAACTCTGTCCCCATTAAATACGAACTCACCTTCCCCGTTAGCCATTCCCCCATAAGGTAAGCTTTCTGAGATCAGAGATGTTGCACTTTGTCCCTGCTATCTCTCAGATCCCTAGCCAGTGGTTCTCACGGTGGGGCGGGGATTCTGTCCCCCATGGGAGGTTTGGTGATGTCTGGGAACATTTTTGGTTTTCATGACTTGGGGGATGGAGACGGTACTGGCATTGAGTGTGTGAGACCAGAGATCCTGCTCAGCACCCTACAAGGCACATGACAACTCCCCACGACAGAGAATTACCTGGCCCCAAACATCACCAGTGTGGGGTGAGAATAACACCCAAAACGTAGTCAGATGCCATTATACTGAATCGAGGCAATGAAATTGCTAACGCTCCGGGGCGCCTGGGTGGCTCAGTTGGTTAAATGTCCAACTTCGGCTCAGGTAATGATCTCGCAGTTTGTGGGT